CACACATGGAAAGGAAAAACTCACAAGCTTATTTTTCATAGCAAACATTATCGCACTTGCGTGTTCGGCAGCATTTCCAACAATAGGTAGTAAAATGACACTTATAAAAGCCACGGGCAGGTTCAACGAATCAGAAGCTCCCTGTAATAAAATGCCCACAATCAGCTCTCATCTATATATTGTTACTGTGGAAGATATTGAACGCTGAAGTTGGAAGCTACTTATGTGTTCACGCACACATAAGTGTGCACGCGCGCACGCACAAAGAGAACACTTTTTTAACTCAAAACTCCAAAATTTATAGTCAGGAATCAATGATAAACTTGGCAGCTAGAACATAGGGCATGAAACCAAACATTCAGTACCTCTATAGCATTAACAAGGTATTCGGAGAGAACAGATATCCATATAGTCAAAACAGCAAGCCAAGCTATTGCTTCCCACAGGGTCACCTCCGGGACTTCCTCTTCATCAGAGTCATTCTCGTTGGGGCCATCTTCCTAAAGGAAATCAAAGATTAATCATCAATGTGCATGATGTAAATATCAAGCAAAAAAGGAAAAGGCATAGGAAAAGCTTTATCACAATCCTTGCCTCTGAAGAGAACTTAAAAATTGGAACATAAGTTTTATCGAGTGTCAAGCATTGAAGCATCATCCACTAACATAACCAGCAGTATTAAAGATAAAGTTGAAAAGGAAAGGGAGGTTGAATATTACAAATGCTTTCCAAAGAATAATCGCAGTCAACCTTGAATGAGAAGGAAGCTTGAAGAAGAGCAAAAGAACTTCACATGACAAGAAAAAATAATATGGAAAAGAAATCTATTGATCAAATGGATCAATAGGAACCAGCCGGAAGAAGAGCAAAAGAACATCACATGACAAGAAAAAATAATATGGAAAAGAAATCTATTGATCAAATGGATCAATAGGAACCAGCCGGCCCCATTACAAAGTACATCCATGTAATTTGAAGGGAAGCAACAAAAAGACCTCCAACAGATATAATACAAATAAGACACTAAACAGGCACTTGCACAATTTCTCATCACAACCTTTCATGAAAGAGACAAGCATGCTAATCCCACCTACATTTTTAAAAGTATCTAAACCACAAGCCTTCAACTTTATCTATCATAGCTCCATAACTCTAATTAGTGTATAGTTTGTTAGAATGTTAAAAAGTCAAAGTATCAAACATAACTTACATTGTCAACGGGATTATAAAGATTGCGGTGACTCTTCAGTTGGAAAACAAGATAGCTGGCATAAGCCACGAGCATGATGCAGCTGCTAAACCTTGAAAGAGCAACCTCCGACTTTCCATACTGCACCTCCGAGTGTGTAAAATGAAGCACAGCTGGAAACATGAGCCCCATTACAGCCATCAGCAGTAATCCTGAGTTCACAACAGCAGTTGCCTGTTGTAAAAAAATGTTATTTATCAATTGCAATTATAAAAATGAACACCAAAATAAAATAGCAGTATATGATATCGTATAAGAACTCTAATCATTATCATAAGAGTTACCTTGGTGAAAACTTGGTCTTTCTTGCAATGTACAATCCCACCAGAGAAGAATGAGCAACCCAGAACTAATAGCATGTTCGATAATATAGAACCAAGTAATGACTGCTGGACAACACGAATCATCCCATTTTTCAACGCATAAATTGCAATTATCATTTCAGTGGCATTTCCGAAAGTAGCATTTAAAAGTCCCCCAACTGCAGTTTACAAATTGAGAACAACATTATTGACATGCAAAAAAATATAGATTACACGAAAATTCTTGGAGAACAAGATCTGGAAACTAGGTGTTCAATCTAAAAAGAAGTGACATGAAGCAAGAGTAATGGAAGGCTTACCCGTAGGGCCAGTGTAGAATGCAAGTTGTCTGCACCACACAAAAGGTAGCATTTGATTGGCACATTAAACAAAAAAAATAGTATAAACATGCCAGCAAGAAACTATCACGTGTGGAGCAATACTTACTCAGTTGCATAACCCAAACGCTCAGCTAGAGGTGCTATGCCTATCAAACTGAAGAAGAAGACCAGTCCCTGACGCCAGAAAACAAATTAAAAACAATAGATTGAGCCATCAAAAAAATTATCAATCTTCAATCAGTAGTTCACCAACAACAGAAGGACACATGCAGCTTGATCATGTCATTCCTTACTCCTGTATGAACAGTAGCCACTAGGATAACAGTGACCCATAGCATACAACGTATAAGACCTCACTGTTGTTTGAATCAACTAAATTTGAATCAATCTAATTAGGGCCTAATATTGAAAAGGTCAAATAATAGTCCAGAACAAAATTCCTAAAAGATTTGAAACAAAAATGCAGTAGGCAACAACTTTAACAAAAATAGATTCAAGAAATAAAGCTAGATTAGAACAATAATTAACTCTCATTATTCATTACTAACTGGCACATTAAGTGGGAAAGTAGTTTTTACGTGCAAGTTTATCAGTTGGTATATCTGCTAGTGAAAGATGGCCAGAGGGTGACATTTCTAATTTCATATAGTTTTAAAGATTCATTATAGAATCATTAGGGATAGGAAGGTAATGGCAGAAGAAAAAATGAAGCAAAGAGTAAGTAATTCCTTACATGCTTGTTAGTAAGATAATAGAGCATGATTGAAATGGGTCCAAAAGGGAGCAACAAGTTAATCTTAGTTGACACCATCACAATATGAATGCTTTGCAATAATCTCCGAAGTATTCTCCTAAGAGAGAATGACTCAGTTAAATCCGAAAATGTTCCTATACGAAGAATCTCTGAAGGATATGTCTTTCCTGTGGCTGGTAAAGAATTAGCAAGTGCTTGCATCTCAACCTCTGGGTCTTCATTGTCTCCTACAGACCCCATCTGTGGATATACAAACAGAAATCATCAAAAGAATAACAAAATCAGGAAAGGTAAATAACTAAGATAACATCCTGATCCAGAATATTAAAATACAATATAATAAATATGGGTATCCAGAGTTTTTATTTTTATTTTGACTTCAATCTTGCGTGTATAGGTTTTGTCCTTTTTTAACGCATTCAAACAAAAATAATGACAATAATAAAATGCCAGTGCAAATATCATTATAAAGAAATATACTAACGATGCCCAAGATAAAAACACAACAATTTCCGTGCTTTGTTATAGACATAAATTTGATGTCTTGTACAGTTCCAATAACTTAATGATTTACTTAAACCTGCATACTTTGAACTTGCACAAAACCAACGTTTTGACCTGTATTCCTTGTCTACAGTGCTCGTTAACACTTCAATAGTTGCTTAAGCCATTTTGTAAATGGATAAATCCAAAGAACAGCATAACGTGAAAATAAATGATGTTCATGTCAGAGTTTGAAGGTTAAGCATCATGTAAGTTCCCAGTACCTGATACCATCATAGAGCACTTTCACTAAAAACTTAGGCTTTTAAGTAGTCAGGCCACTTATTACTAAGCTGCATCTTGAAAATATGTAACGACTTCATAAGGTTGGTGTTGCACCACCCTATGAAGACCTCTATGTGTCATCCTTATTCTGATTCCCATATCTCACTTTATATTACTTGGAATCTTGCCCAATCAAGCAGAATTAAGCTGAATCTAGATGTGAAATTAGGAATATTTTGGCTGACAGTTTGTGGGTGTGGAAGTTGCACAAATTGCATTCAACGAGCTTGGTGCGGCCATACAGGAGTGCTCAACAATGAGTTGATGAAGCACAAATAATAGGTTTTAAGACAAGAGGAAGACATCAGTTATTTTGGAAGGAGGAAGCCTTAAGCTTAGGTTGAACTTCATGTAAGTTGAAAAGGTTGAGCCTAGGTTGCACGCAACGGTGGTATCAGGTACTGGAAATGACATGATAAAGTTGAAAAGTTTTGGAAAACCATATTGTAACCAAAAATAAAGGAGTGAGCCACAACGTTGACCAAAAACAAGTTCATAATTGGTGATGAATGTTCTTAGATTTACATATTATTTAGGGCTGACATTTCTAAAGTTAAAAAGTGTGGTTCTGCAGGTTGCTACTGGGTCCAGACAATCTGATGGCTCAAAAACTTAATTCTGTGAGACGTTTAAGCTGCTGCTGAAGCGGTATTATACAATAGTTACTTCTCAGTCAATTTACCAGGTAAGTCCCTAGTCATTAAGAAGATTTAGGACTGCAAACCTATTTCGAATTCTCTATCCAAGTTCAGTCTTCATTAGCTTCATATTCCAACGAGCATTATCTTGATGCACACAAATGCTTATAAGGATTCTAGAAAAATAATGTAAATACATAATCCAATTCCGCACATATCCTTGCATTTAGAAAATAGATACATGACTTGTTGCTTGATTGCTTCAAAAAATTGGTATTTAAAATATCAACTGAGACACCCAAACGTGTATCCAGATACAATGCAACATGCACATATTGCATCCTCCTCTGTGCTTTCATACGACATGTGAATTTTTCTGTAGAAAGGGATGATAACTAAATATTGAGGTCTCCTTCATACTTATATTATCGTTCAGTTAGCCAGTAAGCAGTATCAACATTCAATCCAAGGTCATATTTAAATGTGAATTTTATTTCAATACCTGAACAATAATCAGTAATTGTAACTATATCCTGTAAGAGGGAAACAACAAATCACATACTTGCCATTGTCTGTCTTTTCTATCCATGCAGCTTAGAGCCCCCCCCCCCACCCCAACCCCAACCATAAACACAAACCCCACCCCATCCAGAACCCGACTCTTCATCATTACTTATGATGCATCCATCGCTTTTCCATAGCCAAGAAATGCACTCCAGTTCCCTCACTAATTGTTGAATTGGTAATAATCTTCTCCTTTATTTTTAGGGTGAAAACTATATACTATAGTATACTATATATATATATATATTATATATATATATATATATATAATATATATATAATATATATATATATATAATATATCATATATATATATATATATATAATATAATATATAATATATATATATACTAATATATTATATATATATATCAACTAAGCGTTAACATGCGAAATTGAAGCCTAAGAATTTTCCTCAACCGGTTTTCTTGATCTTATATTATTAGGGTTTATTTAGAAACACATTGACTGAAAGGGGATTCAATGTGGGGTTTCTTGGATATTTGGTTCTCTCCGTCTACAAGAAGCTTGTGAGTTTTCCTAAGTCTGTAACAAAATGGTATCAGAGTCAACCGCATCTTTTCAGTTGCATGCGAGGAGGTGGGTGGTGACACCTGCATTGCATTTCGCTCGGCACTAGTCTAGTGCAAAGCCAAAGGGCGATGTCGGGACGGAGTTCGACCAGGACCAGACTATTGTAAATCCAGCCCGCGAGTGAGAGGGACTGCAGAAGCATGGTGATGTATGTTAGTAGGGTCCATCTAATCCCAAATTGACTAGATGAAGAGTCAATGTGTGTTAATTAGAGATTTGGATTTCCTCCCTCTAACAGCTAGCTTTCAGGAATGAGAAGTCCTACATCTCTAACTTCTTAATTTCACTTCCAAACTATTAAAAACACAGCAGAAAATAATGCCATAAGTCTTTACTAGCATGCTTCAGATATCTTTAAATGCGACATTGGATATAAAAAAAAACACAGATCCATTAAGTTTCTGATAGTGCTGTTTTCGAGCTTCAAATGCGAAACAATCAGTGGCAGGTTGAGTGACTTTATGATGTTATACATAAAATAAAATAAAAAGAAGAAGAATGTCTGCTTTCTCTCATTGTACTATCCAAAGTTCCACTGTTAGGTTAGGAGTTTGTAATCTTCACTTTTACAAAGCATATACTTAAGAATTTGTATGAAAATTACGGAGGCAGTAAATTTACACTATTTATGCTTTAAGGATATGCTACCCAACGTATAAAATTTAAGTCTCTCCATCCTCATCAGCAGTTCAAGTTCTCTTCATAATTTAAATATTTCACTTTTTTCTCACTCGACACCAATTTGCACCCTTCCAAATTCCAAACTTTAATCACAAGCACACTTATTTATTCTCCCTCCAATGATTCGCATACAGAAAATGACACAAAAACAGCAAAATCCTCAAGAAATTCAAACTCGACCAAAAAATTTCTACCAAAAAAGGGGAAGTTCAAGCAAATTTGACATAGCAACAATCAGATCAAAGAATTGAGGGACTAGATCTTACCATATCCAACTCCTTAACCCTTCCTTCCCCAGTTCCCTCGATCTGCAACTCTCACCAAATCCAAATGCAAGATCTCAATGAACAACCCTAACGTCAATCGATTCACCAAGAGATGAACTGAGAAGGCCTATAACGGATCAGATCAACAAGAGAAGCGGACCGAGATCCAATTAGAGAGATAGCGCCAAAATCAACGCCAGCAAAACTTCTTTACTTTAGTAGCAAAAAAATAAATAAATAAATAAAAACTGGAGGAGGAAAAGAGATTTGAGTTTGAGTATTATTATAGTCTTTGATGGATCTTTGAGAAACTTAAGACGGAGATTTTGAAAGGGAAGCTTCGCGGAAACGAGAAGGTGCTTCGAGTAATAAATTCATCTCTGAAAAAAGGTTGGATTTTTTTTTTACGGTTGCCTGAGGCCCGTAACTGGTAGACAGTGGGTTGACTGAAGCGCTGGACACGGGGGAGACAAAAGATGTTTTCATTTCTTTTTTCTCCTCATTTAGTCCTCATCGACCACTGATGTTTATGTAATAGAGTGGTGTTAGGGCATCTCCAACAGCTTCTCCAAAATTTTCTCCAAAATGGGAAAGCAAAAATCATATTCTCTAAATTATTTTTACACAAACTCCAACAGCTTCCCCATTTTGAAGAATCCATTTTTTCCTCCAAAAATTTGGAGAATGCTGCAGATTTGGGGAAGCTTCCCCATTTTTTCTCCTCCATCCCTATTTTGGGGAATGAGATGGGGAATCTGTTGGACCAAAAACCTAACTATATTCTCCAAAAGTGAGAAATGGGGAAGCTGTTGGAGATGCTCTTAGGGGCACACCCCCTACCACACCACCAACCACACGCCCCTCTCCCATCGTTACAGTAAACCGGGCCCTCACATGGTATTTTAAAATTTTTAAAATCTCATGTGGGGCCCGGTTTACTGTATCGATGGGAGAGGGGTGTGGTTGGTGGTGTGTTAGGGGGTGTGCCCCTAACATTATTTTATGTAATATTCTCTAGCTGGAACTAATAATCACATTTTATTACAATTTTATACCCTCATTATCTATTTTATATGAATAAATATACCACTAATAATTATTTTTATCTTTAATTACAGGTTAATGAAGAATAAATTCCAAAAATCCCATCTCTCAACAAAGGCCCTTGAGTAAATGAAGAAATAAGAGAAATTCAAGAAGCCAAAGTGAATTTTAAAAGGCCCAAAGCCCATAAAAAAAATGATTACATCAAAGAGTTGGAATGGACTTGGATGCAAAGAATTGGAATGAATGGACTTGGATGCAAAGATTACAACACCATGACCGGCTGCTACAAAGTTGGAGTTTAATTGTGTGGACCGGACTTGATTTAATCAATTGCAATTGGGCCAAACTTGCTGCAGCTTTGAATCACAAGAAAGTCATTTGGGCCGAAAATTAAGTGTACTTGCTTGCAATTTGAACATCACAAGATGTCATTTTCGGTTTTTGAAGCTCCTTTGGACTTAGGCTTTGATTTTTTCCAGTGGACTTGGTTGCTATGGACTTGATTGGATTTTGATTTTCTTTTGAAAATCAAATAAATCAATTGGGCCTCCTATGTTGGGCTAGAGAAGAACAAAAAGCAAATTCAAAGGTGAAGATTGTTTTGCTTGAGGCTCAAGACAAATCCAATAGCTCATATTCATTGAAGATTACTATAAATAGGGGGTAGAGAGTGAGGGGTTAGATGTGTGAAAAATTTTGTAAACTCCTTTTGGAGAGGAGGACTACTCTTAATTGAGAAGGCCTTCCAAAAATTATAACTTTAGTTGCAATTAATAATAATAATTTTTTCCTCTTTAAATTTGTTCTTTCTCCTCTTAGTTGAATGATGAGGATGGAGATGAAGAGCAAATTGAAGGTTTGTATTTTTTTTTCTCTTTTATTTCTTTTTAGTAATTTATTTATTATTGCTTATTAGTTAGATTTAAATTCATGCTTGTAGTGTAGATTTATTTTCTTGTCTTTTTATTTTTTTTGCACTTTAATTTGTAGAATAGATTTATTTTCTCGCATTTAATTTTTGTAATATATTTTGTAGTTTAGATTTTTATTTTCTTTGTAGTTAGATTTATTTCTTGTTCATAGTTTAGATTTTTCTTTTCTTTTTATTTTTGTAATTAGTTCTTTTCCTTGTTTTTATTTCTTAAAGATGTGAATTTAATTCTTGTAGGAAGTTTAGAATTATATGAAACTAGTCTAATTTCCTTTATATTATATGAATTATTCTCTTGCACTTAAAATGTTCATGTTTAGGATAATCAACTAGAGAACTAATCGGTAGAAGAAGAATTTGATAATCTATGCTTATCTTAAATGGTTTGATAGGTTATGCTTATGAATTCTAGGATTATTATCATGTTGTTGTTCTTATCATGAATAGTAATTTTGACTTAAATGATAATTTGATAGGTTATGCTTATCTTAAATGGTTTGATAATCTATGCTTAATAAATCTAAGTTAAAATATGATAAAAAGAGAATAGTTTGTATTTTGTAATTGAAATTGGTTAGTGAATTATATTCTAGATTTCTTACCTCTTTTGAATCCTCCATCTTAACTTTCTTAAATTTTCTTTTCATTCTTGGTTGATTTCTTGATTTTATTCATTCTTCTTTCTTGCCTTGTGAGTTCATTTATTCTTTGATTCTTTCTTCTCTAAAATTCAATTTATTATCTCTTGCACATAAATCAAAACAACCACTCATCACAATCACACTTATTCTTTATTCCTAATTGTCATGCACAAAACATAAGAACCATTTCTAATAATCTCTTAAAATCACATTCCTCGTGGAATCGATATTTTTTATACTATAACTTGATAAATTGTGCACTTGCAATTTTGGTACATAATTATGCCGCATCAGGAACTCGAAATATGAGCTTATGCCGTTAGTAGGGGTTAAGTGAAAAAAATCAGATCATTATAAAGGAATTTCTGGAATTCCAAAGTGATTAGATTTAGTGGGAGTATCAAATAATTTGTAAACTAAAACAAAAGAGTAGCGCCAATATGATATTTTCTAGGAATTACTAATAATATCAGGTGCTAATTCTATTTTGGCATTTGTAGTTTCTAGAGTTTTAGCCCGTTTAGTGAAGGAGCGGAGAAACTTTCTAGTGATGAGTCGGGCATAGAAGCCGTAGGAGACGCTTAGTTTTAATGTTGAAACGGTCTAATGCGTGGAAACTTTGTTTTACAAAGGAGAGGTCTGATTAACTGACAATTTTAAATTGAATAATTATAACTAAACTACTATGTAAACTACTATTAGACATAAATGTGTAGGTTTGGATGCGTGGAAACTTTGTTTTACAGAGGAGAGGTCTGATTAACTGACAATTTCAAATTGAATAATTATAACTAAACTATACTATGTAAACTACTACTACTAGACACAAATGTGTAGAGTACTTCTACTAGGATCGTCATTAAAATTATTGAGTCATCATGGTGAAATAACCCTGGGGGTAAATAGGGTTATTGCTAATCAAATCCAATATTGATGCCAAATTAAATATTTATTAAATAATTATCCTAGCAAGTATGATTATGCAATGAGATATATGCAAGGATAAACAAGTATGACACAATAGGCGATATAAACAATGAGACAATAAAAATACGCCAAGGCCAAAACTCAAATGCAAACAAACGATCATGGAGTTCGGTCACCCTCGACCTACGTCCCCGCTCCTCACCCTCGCGGAGAATCTCCACTATTAACACAAAAAACTACACAATCGGTTTTCAATGCTCACCAACAAACGTTTACAATACACACGATTGTCAGTACATAATACACTCCTCTAAGTGTTGGCCTAGCCAGTGTCACCTTCCTCAAGTGCTCGGAATTACGACCTTTCCCTAGGATTTACAACCGACATCACTCCTCTTGGAATTGACCACGTCTCTCACCAACCACTCCTCTAAGTGTCCATGTGTATTACAACGTGTTTCTCACAATGATAAGCTTAAATAAAGATTTTTTTCTCTAATACAATGTGAGAACGAAAATGAAAGCTCACTCAATAATCACACCCACAACCCAATTATACTATATGTGAAATACTTAAGCTCAATATAGGTGTGTGTGAAACAATAAGTATAATGAAAATCAAACACAAATTAATCTAGCAAATAAATATATATATATATAAGAATCAAAATGACAATAAGCTAGATTAAAGAGTTAGAAAAACTTCTCTGAGATGGCACAAAGAGATGTCGATGAGAATTGAGGTTGAACTCCTCAAAACCAAAATTAAAAGCTTCTTCTCTTTGTGAAAACTTCTTCACATAAACAAAGCAAACTTGATTTTCCTTTGAAACCCTTAAACAAAAACTTGCACAACTTGTTTTAAACTTCTTTTTGATGGATCTTAGTGTTGAGGACTGAGGGGTATATATAGGCTCTCAAACAAACCCTCAAAATCCAAGAAAAAAAAATCACAAAACAACAACATCTGGAAACCTAGCCGTTATTGCAACGGTCTCAATGTCGGTCAACCAGTGGTCAATGATCAGTCGACCGAAGTGTGTCAATCGGTCAACCGATACAAGCATGTCGGTAGACTGAAAAAACCCTGAGAACAAATGCTGAAAAAACTATTTCTGGTCAGTCGACCAGAGCCATGTGTTCGGTCGACCGGAAGCTGATACATGGGATTTTCCAGAACATTGATTTTTAGAAATCTGACTTTTGAAATACAATTAAAATAACAAATAAATTCCAAAAATAGTAAAATTCTAGGAAATGTTTATAAACATGAAAACAAACATTCAGAAATGTCTCGAAGAACTTGAGATGGTAGATGAGAAACGCTTGGAAGCTCAACAACAAATTGAGCTATACCAAGCCAGAATCTCCAGAGCCTTTGATAAAAAGGTCTGACAGCGGGTCTTTAAGGAAGGACTCTTGGTTCTTTCCGTTTGGCAACCAATGATACTCAACTCCAAGAAGAAAGAAAAATTTTAGCCCAAATGGAAATGACCATTCGTAGTAGAGACAATCTACTCAAACGGTGTGTATCGCTTGATTACCCAAAATGGTGATAAGATCATGATGCCAATCAATGGAAAGTTCCTAAAGAAGTACTACCCTTAGTACATTCTGTTGGCCTTCTTGTTTTGATGATGATTTACAAACAATTTACTACTAATGTTGTTTGTCTAGTGTTTGTGCATTCCTATGTTTTGTAGACAAACAACGTAGTTGGAGGATGGATGGAATAGAGCTTCAACGATCATATCAAAAGGAGGTTGGCGGAATGTCGGTGAAGCCTTGCTATTCAAAGTTCAAGATCCAAGTTCAAGCTTCATCCGCGAGATTACCAAGTCAAGCTTATTGAAGATCAAGATCATTGCTTGGGTAATTTAGTTTAGGTTTTATATTATGTGTGTTAAGTACTCTAAGCTCAATATAATATACACACACGTATTT